AAAAAAAAAAAAAAAAAAAAGAGTTGCTCATTTGGGGATAGAGAGATGGCTCAGTGGCTGAAAGAACTCACTGTTCTCCTGAAGGTCTTGAGTTCAATTCCCAGCACTCACAGTGGCAACTCACAATTTCTCTGATGCTGTCTTCTGATTTGCAGATGTACACTCAGACTGAGTACCCATATACATACATACATACATACATACATACATACATACATACATACGTGAGATGAAACAGAAGATACATACACGCTGGGCAGTGGTGGGGCACGCCTTTAATCCCAGCACTTGGGAGGCAGAGATAAACTGTTTTTTGAAACTCTGTCTCAAAAAACAAAACAAAACAAAAAGAAGAAGAAGAAGATACATACATACAGAGAGAAGGAGAGAGACAGAGAGAGAAAAAGACAGAGAGAGAGAAAAGCTATTATTTTTCAATTAATTAATTTGGTTTCAGAGAGAGGGTGTTTCTCTGTGTAGCCCTGGCTGTCCTAGAACTCACTCTGTGGATCAGGTTCCACTTCCCAAGTGCTGGGATTAAAGACTTGTGCTACCACCATGTGGCTCCTGGTCACTGTTTTAATTGAGATAGTTTCTGCTGTAAAGAACAGAAACTAATTGAAAATGACTCAAGAACAGAGGCAGATATCACACAACTACAGTATCCAGGGCTGGTTCTGTGAATAGTAGAATAGTGTGATAAAAGTTCATTTGCCCTACATGAAGAGTTACCAACTGTAAACTTAAGGTAAACTTCCCCGTTGCCTTCAACCAGAATCTATGCCTTAGGCTCTGCCTGAAGCTAATACTAGATGTGGAAGTGAGGCTCTACAGTCAAATCTACCAAATGAAATCTATGCATGCAAAATGATAATAATTTGGCTGGGGAGTTAGCTCAGTAGTAGAGCCCTTGCCTGGCATGCTGAAGGCTTTGCATTCAGTCCCCAGCACTGTACAACAACAACACAACATTTAAATGGAGGTCTATTCAGGCTCATTCCCAGGGACCCACTTACCCCAAAAAGGCTACACAGCCTTCCAACACCATCAATCAAGGATCAAGTGTACCAACAGGGGGCTGAGAGTTGGCTCAGCAGTTAAGAGCACTGACTGCTCTTCCAAAGGTCCTGAGTTCAATTCCCAGCAACCACATGGTGGCTCACAACCATCTGTAATAGGATCTGATGCCCTCTTCTGGTGTGTCTGAAGACAGCATCAGTGAACTCATGCACAAAATACATGAGTAAATTTTTTTTTTTTTTGGTTTTTTTTGAGACAGGGTTTCTCTGTGTAGCCCCGGCTGTCCTGGAACTCACTCTGTAGACCAGGCTGGCCTCGAACTCAGAAATCTGCCTTCCTCTGCCTCCCAAGTGCTGGGATTAAAGGCGTGCGCCACCACCGCCCGGCATGTTTTGTTTTTCAAAACAAAGTTTCTCTGTGTAGCCCAGGCTGTCCTGAAACTCACTCTGTAGACCAGGCTGGCCTCAAACTCAGAAATCTATCTGCCTCTGCCATGAATAAAGCCAAATATTTCCATGAAAAATCCACTGACTGACTTGGAACTAATCTCCACATATGCTTATGTACATGCACACACATGCATACACACATATGTGCACTCACACATTCACACACACACATACACACACTCACACATATTCCCACATATAGATACACACACTCACACATATATACATACACATACACACTACTTTCACACACATATACATACACACATACATACAAACACACACATATAGACACATACACACACAGACATGAACACCCAAAATATGTAAAACCCCTTATTATTCTGGTCATTGTGTCTTCCTGAAGAGCTCAGCCACTTTCTTTCCTCACAATTCAGACATAAATGATTTCACATTAGTTCTTGAAACAGACACTCCTGTTTTATGGCTTTATGACTGTGCATATGTAGGAGCTGGAAAGACTCCATGGTTTCTTGATTGCTAATTGACGTGGAAAGGCCCAGGCCACTGTGGGTGGTGCCATTCCCTAGTTGGTGACCATGGGCTGTATGAGAAAGCTTGCTGAAAGCCAGACTTGGTGGCACTTGGGAGGTAGAAGCAGGTGGATCTCTGAATTTAAGGAAAGCCTGATCTACACAGTGAGTTCCAAATCAGCCAGGGCTACACAGAGGAATCCTGTCTTGAAAAACTAAAAGGAAAAAAAAAAAGGAGGAGGAAAAAGAGGGCAAAGGGTGAAGAGGGAAGAGAAAGAAGAACAGGAAGAGGAGGAAGAAGAGGAAAAAGAAGAGAAAGAGGAGGACGAAGAGGAGGAGGAAGAGGAAGAGGAAAAGGAGAAAGAGGAGGACGAGGAAGAAGCAGCAGCAGTCTGCTGAAATGAAAGTGAGCCTGAAAAAAGCCAGAAAGCAGAAAGGAGGGCTCCATTCTGGGCTCTGCCTCAGTTCCTGCCTCCAGGTTCCTGCCTTGAGTTCTTGAGCCAGCTTCCCTGGTTGATGGACTATAACCTGCAAGCTAAATAAACCTTTCTCCCCCAGTTGCTTTTGTGCAGAGCCTTTCACCACTGCGACAGAAACCAAACTAGAACAGCTGGTCTGCTTTGATATTTAACA